AGCAGGGCACACGCTCGATCTGATCTTCGAGCGGGGGTTACGGTGGACTGGATTACGACTACGGCCGTACCATGGTCGGACTATCATGCCCTGAAGGTCCATGTGAACATGCCACGCCAACCCTGTTTGGGCGGCGAGCATATTTTAGCTCGCCCATGGAGCCAAATGGATCCTATGCAATTCCAGATGGCCCTGCAGGATCCGATACCCCCTGGCGGCTCGTTGGATGAGCTAGTCAAGGACTGGCAAAACCGACTCTCGGCGGCCATCGACGAGATCGCTTCTCCGCACCCTCTGCGCCCCCGTCTAAGACTTGCTCCATGGTTGTTATGTATTGGTATACATATGTCTGAGCTTGAGTTTCAACCCCTCTGTAAGCCTGGTATTGTAAACTGCACAGTCTGATTGGCTGCTCTGCGAAGTAGTCCAATCAGGGTACAAGAAAGGCTCTGGAGGGAGAAGCATTCATTGGTCGTTATGTTACTATTCTGATTGGTTCCTAATTCACAGGGGGGCATGGTTATCCAAGTCCGGGTAGTTTAAAAGAGAGCCTGTTGCTCTCCTGTTTGTGTTCGTTCTTGTCTTGTTCAAATAAAGCTGAATCACTTGTTAATGAGCTGCCTGAAGTCTCGTACTTAAGAATGGTACACACAGGAGCTGAGGGCGATGAAGCGGGAGCTTAAACGACCAGAGAGACAATGGTGTCGCGCTCTCGATGAAGCGGCAAGAGCATCCTATAGGACGTTTATGAGATCCTATGAGATAGCAGTCAAGGCTGCGAAAAACTATTTTTTACGCAGCTACGATCGCGTCTCCGAGCTCTCGCCCGGCCCAGTTATTTTATATATGTTGTTAGCCACCCTGAGCCCGCCGAATGGCAGGGAGGGCGGGATATAAAAGTAAATATAAATAATTTTTAAAAACGAATGAATGAATGAATGACAGATATTATTCTCTTCTCCTTTTTATCCACACAACCACCCTATGAGGTAGATTAGGCTGGAAGCCTGGAACTGGTCCAAAAATCATCCAATGAGCTTGCACAGCAAGATAGGGATTCGAAACGGGGTCTCACAGATCATACTCTGAATCTCTAACCACAGCACCACGCTGGCTTCCGTAGAGCGGCTGCTGTTGAACGGTAGCAAGAAGCCAGGTCTAGGTCAGTCATGCAAGTCAGATGGTACCAAGTCACTCAAGTTGCTTCCAGGCCTGGGGTTGGCCAACCTCCGGGTGGGTACTTGAAACATCCCAGAATTACAACTGAACTCCAGAGAACGGAAATCTGTCCCTCTGGAGAAAATGACTGCTTTGGAGGGTGGACTCTGTGGCATTCTATTCAGCTGAGGCCTTTCCCATTCCCAAACCTGGAGCTGGCAATCTTAGGCTCAGGCCTGGCCTCTCCCCCTGCCTCTTACTGAAAAAGCCAAGCTTGGAATACTGTGGTTGCCTAGGAACAACCAGTAAAGGAATTTGTTGCCTAAAACTACAGGTGCTCCTTTTATCATTTTTGGATTTTTTTTAAGCTGCCCAGAGGGGGGGGGGAGGAGGAGGAGGAGGGAGAGGGAGGCATGATGGTACCTGTCTCTGTTCTCAACCGATGGCCCGTTGGAGCATCTCTGCCTTGCAAGCCCTGCGGAACTGCATCAGGTCTTGCAGGGCATGGATGTTATTTGGCAGAGAGTTCCAGCAGCCAGGAGCCAGGACTGAAAAAGCTCTGGCCCTGGTTAAGGACAGCTGGATGTCTTTGATGACTTGATGTCAACCCTCCCCCCCAAACCCCCCAAAACTAGTCCACTGAGCTTGGGTGCTCCGTGGAAGCAAAACAGGCACGGGCAGCCCACCTGGATCCTGCAGAAGCTTCTCTGAGCTTTCAAAGGCGAAAAGCAGGACTTAAGAGAAAGCAGCACGCACATAAATAAAATGTGAACAAGCCAGTGTGTTACATAGCCCATTTGGGCCTGTTCTCTTGTGAAGAGTAGATGGCGGGATTTGCATTTCTTCGCCTGAGGCAACGGACACAGTATATGTTCATTTTCTCAGCTCCTTGGGTTTTTACATGTGTACAGGTGCAGCTGTTTGAGCCGCCTCTGCCAGATGTCAGTCCACAAGCGGCTGGTAACTTTTCCACAGACCAGCTGCTTCCCAGTGGTAAGAACAGGAGGAAGCGAACATCCCGAAATATGCTGCCGCTTGCAGTGCGCACCACAGACCAAATCAGGCGTGTGCTTTAATTGAAGATACGCTGGGGTGTGTGGTCAGGAAACAGAAAAATGGATAACAAGAACAATTAGAAGAGCCGTTCTGATACTTTTAAGTCGGTGGGGAATGGAAAAGAAAGGTAACAGAGAGAGAGAGCTTATGTTCTTGAGAGAGAGAGAGAGAGAGATTTCACATTCTTATGCAAACCTAGGGCCCTTTTCTGGTTTGCAGAAAGATCTTTCTTCCTCGTTAACAGCTCCAGTCACCAGATTTAAGTAGCCAAAGATATCCCAACCTCACTATTAGAATATAAGATACTTTTTGAATTCCACAAATATGCCAACTAATACACTGAAATGCTAACAAAGTTCTAAATGGTGCATGAGATGGTGCATGAGATGGTTAGACAGTGTCATAGATGCAACGAACATGAAGTTGAGCCAACTTCAGAGGATGGCGGAAGACCGGAAGGCCTGGCGTGATCTGGTCCATGGGGTTGCGAAGAGTCAGACTCGGCTGTGCGACTGAACAACAACAACATTGTTCAATTGGCAAATTAGGTTTGTGTTGATAGGAAAATAAACACTAGATATATTTCAATGCCCGCAATCCCCAACAGATTTTTTTGGTATGACTTCAACATTTCTGGAAATTTAAAATCTCGAACCACACCTAGAAATAGAGCTGGTTTTTAAGATTATAGGTAAAGGTTTCCCTTACTCAAAAGCTAGTCAAATCAAACTCTAGGGGGTGGTGCTCATCTCTGTTTCCAAGCCGAAGAGCCAGCGTTGTCTGAAGGCGTTTCCGTAGTCATGTGGTCAGCAAGACTAAACACCGAGGCACATGGAATGCTGTTACCTTCCCAGCTAAGCGGTACCTACCGTATTTAGCTACTTGATTTGCTTGCAATTTCTTGCTTTCGAACTGCTAGGCTGGCAGAAGCTGGGGCTTTACACATTTGAAAATAAAATCAGTAGTAGAATGTCACATTGGGTGCGTTCAGACGGGGCATTTGCAATGGAATAGGTGCCGGTTGCAATCGGTGAACCTACCGGCGTTCACACGTAGAACATCTGCCTTCCGTCCCTAACCGTTGCAAAGTCCTTTAAACCGTTGTACTCTGCCACTAGGTCCCCAAGTGGTGGTATCCTGAGTACAACGGTTGTAATCGGTTTACCCCCGTCTGACCGCACTCCACTGGTGTCTGGCCACTTCCGTTCCCCGTGAAGAGCCCGGGTTCTCCCGTTTTCCGCCCGCCATTTTTTTTAGGTTGCTGATATGCGCTTGGGCGAAGCGTTTGTTTTTTTAAAAAAGAAAAGGCCCTTAGTTTAACTTTCTGGAGGAGTCCGGGACTTCAGGGAGGCCAGTTTGGGCTTTAAACTTTAAAGGTAAGTCCTTACCTTTACACTTTAAATGTAATACGGGGTGTTTTGAGCATGCGCAAAGATCGCCATTCTGTGGATGGCTGCCTATGCGCATGCTCAAATTGAGTGTTGTTTTTTTAAAAAACAACAACAACAACAACACCGACGCCCGCAGCATGTGAACGGGCATACAGCGATGGGCTCCGCTGTGAGGGCGGTAAGTGTGATCGCATTTCAGCCGGCATAAACTGCACCGGTTCCAACCGGTACAGTTTATGCCAGCTGAAACGCCCCGTCTTGAGTAAAACACCACATGGAGTGCAGTGATGGGGAAATGCTATTCAAAGGCATACGAACATTCAGGAGACACCCAAGAACACTCTGTAACCGTTAGACATATATCTTTTTAGGGACAGAGAGGTTCCACCACCCTTAACTTGCACAGCCATACATTTCCTGCCAAAACGGGAAAGCAGGCACAGGAGGTGCTTATTTCCCACAGTGTTGAGGTAGAACAGGTGCCGGCTAGCTAGCTGCAAAACCAGATTTATAACCATCTCAGAACTTAGCAATCAACCTCTCCTTACACATTATAATGAATGGCCTTGCAGGGCAGGAATGGGGCCCCCCCTTCATCCTCAAGCTGACAACATTAGTGACAGGTTGGCTTTTGACAAAGGTAGTATCTTCATATTCTGAACTAGATTCTGTAGGCTCAGGCAGGGGTCATTTCGTAGAAAAAGAGGTGCAGGAGCTCATTAGCATAACTCATTAGCATA